CTGCGGAGGAGAGAAATGTTCTGCCTATATGTTCTGCCGTATAATTTTAGCCTGTCTGTACACAGGCTATATAATTTCAGATGATTGGAATTTGGAAACTATTGTTCCCTTCGGAAATTTTCAAAACATTCCCTAACCCCCTCGAAATTATCGGGAATTGCTTGAACCCCGTCTGAAATTTTTGGGGAATTTCTTGACCCCATCGGAAATTTTCGGGGATTTCTTGACCCCCTCAGAAATTATCGGGAATTGCTTGACCCCCATCTGAAATTATCGGGAATTGCTTGACCCCCTCTGAAATTATCGGGATTTCTTGACCCCTTCTGAAATTATCGGGAATTGCTTGACCCCCTCTGAAATTATCTCGAATTTTTGACCCCATCGGAAATTTTCGGGAATTTCTAGGCCTCCTTGTAAATTATCGGGAATTGCTTGACCCCTTCAGAAATTATCGAGAATTGCTTGACCCCCCTTGGAAATTATCGGGAATTTCTTGACCCCCCTTGGAAATTATCGGGAATTTCTGAAAGCACATTTCCATAATCAATCCTCCGTCCCTCACAAGGATGTTTTTGAGGCTATCAACCCCAAAACTTCCTGGTCTCCCCCAGAAGACCAATATGGGTCTTGAACTATTCATTCGATAATGTCGACATGATATAGAACAACTCCCCAAATTTAGGCCCAAAAGGCCATCCAACCTCACTGACAATGAATTTAGCGCCCTCCAAACACTCCATGCTCGTAATGACATTGTTATCAAACCTGCTGATAAGGGTGGTGCCTTAGTTGTTTGGAGAGCTTATTTATACCGTAATGAAGCCCACCGACAATTGGGTGATGCCACTTTTTACAGGAGGGTTGACAAGGATTTGACTTCCATTCATCAAACCACCATCACTCAGACCATTCATAACTTTATCAAAACTGGTGATCTCCCTGAGACTGCCAAAAACCTCATACACATCACACTTCGCACACCTGTCATGTACTTTCTGCCCAAAATTCACAAACCTGACAACCCAGGCAGACTTATTGTCTCTGCTTGTGGTTGTCCCACCGAACTCATCTCCAGTTTTCTCGATCGTGTTATGGCACCCTTGGTTAGGGACTTACCATCCTATATCAAGGATACCAAGCATGCTCTCCAAATTCTCCAGAACATTCATTTTCATGGCACTCACAAATTCATTTTCACCATGGACGTCAAATGCTTATACACTGTAATTCCGCATCATGATGGTTTGAGGGCCCTCAAATTCTTTCTAGATAAACGCCCTAACCAGGAACCGTCCACTTCTGTTTTGGTCCGATTGGCTGAGTTGGTGCTTACCCTCAACAATTTTTCCTTTGATGGTGAGCATTACCAACAGATAAATGGTGTAGCCATGGGAACCAAAATGGACCCAACTATGTTAATTTGTTTGTTGGTTTTGTGGAAAAACAAATCTTTGAACAGTACACTGATCCCATCCCTGATTACCTTGGTAGGTACATAGATGACTGTCTTGGCACAGCATCATGTTCTCGTGTCGAATTGGAACGCTTTATTAACATTGTTAATAATTTCCATCCAGCACTCCAGTTCACTTGGGATCAGTGAGTCATTCTTAGATATCCTTGTATCAATCAATGGTAACAATTTATTGACTTCTGTGTTCAACAAGCCCATTGATTCCCATAGCTATCTTCTATTTTCCTCTTCCCACCCCAACCACACCAAAAGGTCGATTCCCTTCTCGCAGTTCCTTCATCTTCGCCGTATCTGCAGCGAAGACGAAGATTTTCAGGCCAAAAGTTTGGAGATGAGACACTTTTTTGTCCAACGTGGTTATCCTACCTCTCTATTAGACACTGCCTTTTCGAAGGCCTCCCAAATTCCCCGTTCTGACACCCTCACAGACCCTGTGTCTAATATCACAGGCAACAACAAAATCCCCCTAGTTTTAAATTATCATCCTTTCAATTTCAAAGTTAGAGATGTCATCAATAAGAATTTCCATATTTTGAAAAACGACCCTGAAACATCTTCCATTTTCTCCAATAACCCCTTAGTCTCTTTTCGACACAGCAAAAATATCCGTGAAAACCTAGTCCATAGCTCCGTAGCACAGGTTTCGACGTCACAGAAAGGCACTTTTTCTTGCCTGTCGTCGAAATGTAAAACCTGATTTTGTAGATTCTACCACTATTGTTTCGGCACGTGAGAACCCTTAGAAGTAAGACGCAACTACTTGAAAGCTATTTTCACGTATAAAATAATTAATGGCCACACCGCACCTAATCTAAAAGAATCGTTTCGATCAAACAACGAAATAGATAATTTTTACAATCTCAGAAATAGAGAAACAGACTTAGCACTTCCTATGCCAAACAAATAATTCGGCAAGAGGTGCTTTAACTATATAATGGGGCTTCACTGTGGAACAATCTTCCCCAGGAGGCAAAAAATTCAGAATCGTTAAGCTCTTTCAAAACAATTTTGAATCAGAGAATTTGTTGAATCTGGCTCATCAAAATATATTAACCTTTAAGCAGTACAACTGTGCTATTATTCACTTGTTGCTAATGTGTTTTATCCTGTAAATAGTTCTAAATTACGCCCCTCATGAAAATCAGCTTGTAATGTTGTTGAGGCTAGCGTGAATAAATAAAGTTTGTATGTATGCATGTATGTATGTATATGAATTCTCTGATTGAAGCCCTAATTTCAACCTGTTCCACATGCCAACATCACCGCAATGCGAATCAACGTGAACTCCAACCTCACGAACTTCCCACGAGACCTTGGCAAAAGGTTGGTACCGATTTGTTATCTGATCGTTGTTGACTACTGTACTACAGTCGTTTTCTACCCTGGGTGCCAGAGCCTCCTGTGATAGAAGTGAGGACACGACGAGGAGGCTCTGGTCACACGAGCATTCAGCCTCACTTTGGTGAGTTCAATATTTGAACTCTGTTATGCGAGTCTTTTTATTGGTTAACCGTTGAGCGTCAGTTAACCAATGAAAAGACTCGCATAAATTTAGACCAATCACAAACAGAGTTCAAATATTGAACTCACCAAAGTAAGGCTGGATGCTCGTGTGACCAGAGCCTCCTCGTCGTGTCCTCATTCTATCACAGGAGGCTCTGGCACACAGGGTAGTCGTAGCAGAACTTTGGGACACCAAAGACAGAACCGTTATTAATAAAACAAGTCCTCCATCAGTCGACACGGCATTCCCGACACAGTCATCTCCGATAACGGCCTTCAATATTCTTCTAAGGAATTTGAACAGTTTGCTAGGAGAAGGCAATTTAGATCCAACATAGCGTGCTCATTTTCCCTCTGCAGAAAGTAGAGATTTATTGAGGAGTGAAATAGCAATTTCCGGTTTCAGTTAATAAACGAGCGGGGACACCATGCATCACAGTGTTGATCTTTGTTATTATCCAAGCTTACACTATCAGGCGATATCCCTTTGAAAGGATCCTTTTGACTTAGAATTAAACGGACTACTTTGAAAAGACCAATGAAAAGATCTTTTTGGCTTAAAAATGTTGCGCCCATAGGTGACACCCATCCCACATTCATCGCAGTTATGATGCCACCCTCCCTAACCTCAGGGACTCCATTAATAGTCGATGGACGGCTTTGACTAGCTGCATGGGAGGACAATGCACCGAGCCCAAACTCATAACGCGCGCTAGCACGCGTATTGATGCCACCTTTTACTATCACTAGCCACACCACATTACAAACATTTCCTATATTTGTATTTATGTACGCAAGTGTAGGCGAATACAAGGATTATGGGACGCAATCAAGACCCTAACTTGTTTGTGCGCATGGCTAAATTATGTTGCATTAAATGACTGGAGACGCTTATTTAGTTATTTGAAACCATTTCCAAAATCTCGAGCGGGATTTGAACTCGCATCTTCGGTCTAGATACCCGAAGTTTGACGGGGAAGTATTCTGTGATACGGGCATATTTTTCTTAAACTTAGAGCGCGCAACGAATACTTGTACTCGCACATCGCAAGAATGACAGTATAGACATTGTAACACAATATTTATGGGCCACCGCACACAGCATAAATATATCATGTAACATCTACATTTGGTAACTTGTGTTTTAGTTGACTATTAGCGCAAACGATAAGATTGGAAAATCATGATTTTTGACAAAACAAACGCGCTATATTAACGCAGACACGATCAGTATCGGCCCAATTTAAATTTCATTGTAATTTAATACGATGTTTATTATAAAAAAGTACCACGCGAACTTCAAACTTCAAGAATAAATACTTTCGAAAAATCAAAACTTTAATGGTATACTTGTACGACACGGATTTTTAAAGTGGCATATTTCATAGCATAAATATTGCGGTTTGCAGAGTGTGTGAAGGCATGAAGTCTGTCGACGCCGCCGTTTAAGATCTGTTAATTCCAACAAGTCGACCGCTTCCGGCCACGAGCCACGAGCGAGGAAACTTTAACAAGATTAATGGGGCTCAGTACCGCTTAGGTACAGATATTTGTCAATTCGTCAGTCCTGATTTTGCTGCGTAATGAGTGCGTATAATTTATTAGAGGAAATGTTGTGTTAATAATCTCAACTCGAGGCGACCCCTATACTATAGAGATGTGTGAGGAAGGACGCTGTAGATTTTATGCGTTCCACACAAATTTCTGTTTATTGTATACTATCAAATATCAACATTACTAGGATTTATCTGTTGAGGAAAAATGCGTACATTTGAATAAGTGATTTGGTTGGGTTACGTTTGCACCATGCCGGATAGGTTTCCGTAGCGGCGCGAAAAAGCACAATTGGGTCTGTTTCTGAGGGGTAAGAAAATTATACAAAATTTCCGAAGGGGGAAGAAAAATTTCCAAATTTCCAAAGGGGTAGTTCCGTGATGGAACCTCGTCAACAAGTATTTCCGAAGGGCTTGAGAAAAATCGTAAACTTCCATAGGGGGTTCCGCAAAAAATAGCAAATTTCCGAGGGGGTCTTCCCAAAAACCGTTTCCGAACGGGTCTAAAATCAGTAACCTCGTCAACAGGGGGGGGGTGGATGTTAAATGGAATGGCCCGGTCGCAAAGCTTGTCATCGCCATATAATATTACTTAAATAATTAATGCAATGCGGTTTTGAGCGCGCCATTCATAAATGCGCGCTATTCCAGCAGCAAGACAATAATTGGCAGTGAATGAATATATGTTCGCTTTTATATGTTCGCTTGTTTCATGGGATATTCTTTTATATGTTCGCATGCTATGGGGAATCAGAGGTTAATTCAAGGAAAATATGTTGCCAAGTGATTACAGAACAAAAGGTTCCATGCATCAACTCTTCAGTCAAAGGTAATATTGACGCCATTATAGTAGCTGAACGTTTTGATGATCTCATCTATTTTTCTTGCGATCTGTCGAATAGTTGTGTTCGAAATGTAGAAGCGGCATAAATGGGAAGAATTTCCCCACTTACTAGCTATATTAACTATATATCCATATCATGAAGGCATGCATACTGTGTAATACAATATTTTATGCTTCAGCATATTCATGCACGCATGAATGATGCATCATGCATCATTCATGCGTGCATGAATATGCTGAAGCATAAAATATTGTATTACACACTAACTATATGGGTATACTTATTCTTGCGCTGTATAATTGTTAACGTAAACCATAAATATTATACGTATTCAAGTGTATACGGTACTTTCGAGCTTGCATGTCACACGGTGTATCGCCAGCATGTGCCTGAAGCGGTTGAGTATAATTCACGCTGTGCGAATTCAAAGCCCGTCAAATGTAAATTATTTGTTAATTATTATTTGTATTTGAGATACTTGTATTTAATTTCAAGTGCGTATTAGAATTCGCGCAGACCTTAGGTTGGCGCAAAAATAAAATTGAGCGGGAATTAGTCTGCGCGAAAAGTTGCTGTCAAGCAAACATCCTGATGCGCGAGCATTTTATCCGTACGGAATGCTAGAAACGTTTCCATTTTACTAAATGCATTTATGATGTGACATATACGCCCCCTGGCTTCATAGGCAACAGAAAAAGCGTGTAAAACCTGTAGTAAAACTATTTTTGATTTATGGTGCCTACATTTGATAGCTGAAAGCCAGGGGCGGATCTAGGATTTTTCGTACCTCAGTCAAAAATTTTTGGCGGACGGGGGCGTTGTCAGCGCGGGGCGTTGTCAGCGCTGGGCGTGGTCTCGACTGGGCGTGAAAAACGTATTTAGATTAAATTTAAATTGATAACGACCATTTGATTCTTATCCATTGTAAGAAAAACTACAAATGCACAAAGATATATTGATCCTATTCCAATACAAAATTTTATGGATATATTACTATGATATAGTACATTAAAACTCAGCACCAATTTAATAACATGTTTGCCTGTGGATTAATCAATCGTCGTCATATTGATACTATACCTATAAGTGTATCATTGTAAAACTTGTAAAATCATATGGCAGCAAATGCATTAAGGAAATATACTGTTCTGTTACCAAAAACGCAGAACTATACAAATAATTGCTAGTAGCCTCAGATAAAAAAAAACAACCAGATATTCATTAACTAAGTCAAACACTATTACATTAACAAGATATAAAGATGTTATGTCAAATATTAATAAACTAGTTACATGAGAATGGGGCTACCAGTCAATGAGTTTTTCAAGATAGCTTATTAAATATTTCACATCATCATGTTACACCAGACCAATGCGGTCTAACAAGCCGTGTCGATAGGCTATGGACAAACAGTATTCTATAAGGCCGACATGTTGTGTGATCGTCTGATCGATGCATAAATATAAATAAATCTTAAATAAAACTTCACTATAAACACGAGAATCAACAAATGCTTACAATGTGGACATTGAATAAAACATATTTTAGCCTCTTGACGCGAGAATTATGCTAATACAGCATAGCGAATATTAAAATATCATATGTCAAACAATCATTAACAACACCGACGGCTTTGGTTATTCGGTTTAATTAATATAAACTAAAGATACATCATTATAAAACCATAAATTTCTCTACCTTATTGCAGTGCAAGCTTTGTCTTTCTTATCTCGAACATACTTCGGAATGTAGCTCTCTGCGCCAAAATTTATAGCGAGGCTTCGCTTGTGTTGTTGAATGTTGATGGCGCTCACTTTGCCGTTCAGTAGCTCGTCAACAGAATTTATCCGTGAAGCA